ATGTTTATTCAGAGAAAGTACGTTTTTGTGTCTGATTTCGTAACTTAATTAATAGTTAGCACTAATTAATTAGCATATTTGAGGTCACCCCCAGGAACCATTAAGATTGACACTTAGTTCGTGAAAATCCGATCATTAGAACGAAAGTTATTCAGGGTGATTCGTTTTTTTTTTTGCGGACTGTACATATTGATACAGAAAATTCAGAATTTGCCGACTATGATTGAAATTGCCAGCTAAGGTCGTAATTGCTAATATTGGGAAGACGAGACACCTCCTACATCCCCAGTAGTAATGCCCCTGACAGCAAACAGAATTTTGCAATTATCTGATGCAACAAAATACTGATGGAAGAACTTGAAAGTTTTAGTAGAATATGTTATTCGAGTATAAATATGATCTAATATAAAAACTCAACAATCTTAAGAGCTTTAACAACATTATCAACATGATAAAAACAATTCAAGATTCAAGTAAGAAGACCTAAAAAATATAGATTAAACATTACAGTGAAACATATATTTTGATAATCCAGAAAATATTCTTTTAATATGTTGGAACGGTATAACGACAAGAAATATAAAAATTGAGCCTTTGAAGAAATTTAAATACTGGAAAATTCATAATTATGTTTGAGAATTCATGATTTCTATATTAAATTTCTAAGCAGAAAATTACAGGGGTTTAATTGACTGAAATTACACTTACTAATTCACTATTTTTTTCCATCTATTTATGATACTGTAGTGAGCCTGATGATTTTCGATATTCAATAAAATTCATATTTAAAGAAAACTATGCCATTTGCAAGCAGTGGAGCACAGTTTAATTGAACTGAAATATAAGCAACTGTATGCATCGATGATGCATATAACAGAATTATTAGATCAAGGGTAGCATATAAAATTGTATTACTTAAGTTCGAACCAAAAGTAAATATTGCCAAGTTCTGGGTGTCAAACTAAATATTTTAAGAAAAAACAGGAGGGTCATGGAGCGATATCCCCTTCTTTTTTTTACTCCTCCATAATATGCAGTTTTTTCAAAATTTTTTAAAATTTAAAATGATTAGATTCTAAGTTTTTGTAATGAATATAAGTTTTTTCAGCAAAAAATAGATTAATTGAAAATGTTTTTAATATAACCAAAACTATAAAGATATAAATTTAATAGAATAAATATGTATGCGCGTTTCTATGTTAATGATATTTTTAAGTCCACATTAAAAATTAAACCATTTTTTTATAAAAAATTAGAATTTAAAAAAAATTTAATCTTCTGCTTCTGTATTAAAAAATTGATTAATTTCTACAGAAAAGTTTTAAAAAAAATTTTAAAACCCAAACGGATGTGCTATAAAATTTGCATGTGTTTGTTTCAATGTAAACTATTTCATTCTTCTTTAAAAAGTAAAAAGACTTACAACACTGTATACTTCAGCTGATAATTTAATGAACCCGTATCTCCAATCCATCTCTAATATTAATCTCTTTACAATATACATATAATAGAAAAGTCAAGCTCAGAACAGTTTAAATAAAATGAAAGATGAATCAGCTTTGCAAATTTCTCTCTGAATATTTACAAGAATAATCACAATTGTCTTCTGAATTCCATTGATTCTTGTGAAATGGAATATGAGATATCCTGTTATTGATAAAATCTTCATCGTGATGATGGTAATCTTTCGTCAAAAGATACATAGTATGTCGATACCCTAAAATATCAAATAGAACATTAAAAGAAAAAAGGCAAAATATTCATATTTAAGAGAAATACCTTCACACAAAAATAAATAAATCAAACAAAACAGTGGCTTTTTTTAAGTCATACTAACTCACTCGTTGTCAATCATGACAAGAACCAAAGAAAAGTAGTTATGATGGCTGTTATTGAAATAGGATATTTTACTTTATAGTAAGCGAGACAGTTTACTAGTTTACTTCATCTAAATGAACAAATAGCCAGTTTCCATACCATCCACCATATAAAATGTCAATTGTCTGTTTCACATTTCGTGAGAAATACAGTTACTCTGACACAGCAGCAACAATCTGATAAGGAAGCTGTGTTCTGAACTCTGCACGAACAGAGGCCTGGAATTTTCTTATACTAAAAAAATAGGGTTAGAACTCAATTTCTAAATAATTCTTTTCCAGAAAAATGTTTTAAAAAAATGTCTGGACATTTTTTTGCAATGGACAGACAGCAAAATTTTATTAGAAATATATTTTTATTCAATAAACACCGAAATTTACTTTTTGGAAGAAAAAATGTCAAATATTACCACAGCTGCCATATCTCTTGATCTACACAGATTTTTTTTTTATTTTAAAGGTGGTAATAAAGTGTATGTGTTAATATTTAAACCTTAAAATTAATTTTCAATAAAACTTCCATGAGTAGCTCCATTAAGCAACCACCCCCTTCAACGACCACTTTTTTAATGCACAAAATTTTTTTCCCTGTCAATGTAATGTTAAAAGTCCTCTAGGAAAGATCAGGCAACTGTCTTTCCTAGAGGACTACCAAGTATCCAAGTATCAATCACCCTTTCAGAAATTTTCCTGACTTTCTCCCCCTTGTATAAACAAAAACATGTTCCAAACCAGAGAGAGGGTATTTGATTCACTTTTCACCAATTGACCTTGACATATAACAGGTGCAAGTAAAGGATAATGCACACACACATTTCCCTTATACTCTTGAAAAACCGAAGTGGACGGAATTTCAGGATGGTAGCGAAGAGGAACAGTGGCACCTCAAGTGGCAAGTAGGGCATTTCACCATGGACACATTATTTGAAAGAGAGCAAAGTAGACTAATTTTTTCCACTTTATTGTTTTTACTTGATCTTTATTGTTATTACTATTATAAAAATTAAAATATTTTGCTTCTGTTTAGTTTTGGCTGTTGAGCAAATTATTTTTAATATACCCCAACAAAACAAATAAATTAGACCACACAATCAACCATGAAATGTTTTCCTCCAGACAAATCTGTCTTCTCTTCCAACACCCTATGTTTAAAGTAGAGGCCAAAAATTTTCCTTCCATTTGGGCTACATTTCGTGCATATTCATCTCCTATAAAAAGAAGGGCCTTTCATTAAAAGGAACCATGTAACTGGGTGTGTGTGGAATACTGGCCGAAAAGGATAGCATCTTCAAAAAGGAACAAACCCAAAAGTGCGATAGTCATGGGATATGCTCCAACAGAGTGTCTCAGATCTTATCTTCAGATATGTTTAACTTCAATTTAATTAGCAGTGAAAATCTCCTTGAAAAAAAACGGTTTTTGAATCAGTTTAATAGATTCCACCCTTTTTGCAAATTGGGGGGAAAGAAAAAACACACATCCCTCCACAGAGTACATTTTTACAACCTGCAGTGAGGAATTCTAAGAGCTGCTGCTAAAATACAAAAAAAAAAAAAAAGATGCCTCTGCTTTGCTTGACAACTAATGTAAACAAACCAAGATTGAATACACCCCTTTTATCCTGAAGAAGAAAAAAAAAAAAAGATGCACATTTAAAGAAGTAGTTTCTGTCTTTGCATTTTGAAAACGAAAAATTTGATTTGGATCGATTTGATCATGAAAAGCAACAATGTTTGTTAGCAATCATTTTCTAAATATTTAAATAAATTTATTTTATTATATTTATATTATGCATTAAGTCACCCCCAATTTGTTTACATACGTCAAATAAGTTAAAATTCGTAACTATGGTATGGCACCCATGGAGAGATCAAAACGCATTCACATCTCTCCTCCCCTAAAATCCAATCAATTAAAAATTATATTTTTTAATTTTTAAAAGTTACTCTTTTAATTTTAATAAGTAATTTTTTGTGATGATTTTTAATATTTATTTCATGACAAAAAAAAAAAAAACACCTTAAAATTTAATGCTATAGGTTTGAGTTTCATAAAATATTAATACAACAGTACAGCACTTTTTCTTATTTTGCTCTACTATATGCAGTTTTAAGTATTATAGTTTGGTTTTATTATTTTACCATTAGGTTAAAATAACCAGGGGTGATTGTGAGCCCAACTCGAAAATCCTGAAAATTTCTTGAATAAAATCATAAATGATGCATAAAATTTATGTCTTTATAAATTTAAATCATTGATATTTTCACAATATGTAATTCTAAATAAATTATATGCAGCATAATTTAAACTAATAATTATGTATAAGTTTACTTTTATCTCTAATCACATTTGTTGAAGTATCAGCAGCCTACACCTAAACTCTATAATAGTTGTATATTTTGATTTAGATGTGTTGATATCGAATTCTCATTAGGCTTCCAAAATTATTGTAAATATTGTAAAATTATTGTAAATAGTATTTATTTTGAATCTTTTAACAAGTGGCGTCCGCGACAAGGACTATGGAAAATTTGAAACGTGAGAGAACGCAACTTTGGCGATTATTTACAAGATCTTTGAAAGAAATGGAAGCCGTCTTGAAGACAGAAAAGGTAACTAAAAATGATTTGATATCTGTTTTCAATATTTTAGAAGATAAAGCAGGAAGGTTATTTATAATAGACAAAAAAATAAAAGTAATTTGGCTAGAAATAGAAAATTTTGATGAAACCGAATTTGATAACGAAACAGATTTAACAGAAGATTACCGCGTTAAATGGGTTTCCATGAAAGCAAAAGTAGATTTGAATTTGGCGAAAATTGAAAAAAAAAACAGGAAATTCTTGACGCGTTAAATGAAACAAAACGAAATTTCCGTCTCCCCAAATTAGAATTGAAACGTTTCGACGGCAATATTAAAAATTGGCTTGGATTCTGGGGACAATTCAACAAAATTCATGAAGATAATAGCATTGATTCAGACAATAAGTTCCAATATCTTCTGCAAGCAACAGAAATCGGCACTTCGGCGAGAGATTTAGTCGAAAGTTTTCCGCCATCTGGTACCAATTATTATAAAGCGGTTGAGCAATTAAAATCTCGTTTCGCCAAAGATGAATTATTAATCCAAATTTATGTTCGGGAACTGTTAAATCTTGTTTTAACCCAAGCAAAAAGTGGTGAAAATTTTACATTGCGTGTTCTTTATGATAAATTAGAAACTCAACTACGAGCTTTGGAGACTTTAGGAGTAACGTCTGAAAAATACGAAGCTATGTTATATCCATTAGTTGAGTCTGCCTTGCCGGAAGATCTCATCAAGGAGTGGGAACGAACGCGTAGTAGAGTTGACGATAAGGACGATGCAAATATTTTAAGCAGCTTGTTAGGATTTCTTCAATCGGAAGTTTAAAGTGAAGAGAGGCTGCAACTTGCACGATCAGGTTTTGGAGGAAATCAAGAATTACCTATGTTCACCATGAAAGACAAAATTCCTACTGCGTCTTGCATAGTAGCAAGTGAAAAGAAAAGGCTTGATAAAAATGTCAAGCAATGTTTATTTTGTAATAAATCCTCTCATAGTTCAATGGAATGCTTTAAGGTTATCGACACGTAGCTGGAGGAGAGGAAGGAAGCTTTAAAGAAGAAACATGCGTGTTTCATCTGTCTATATCAAATGCCTTTTTTGCAAGAAAAGACATCACAATTTTAAAGATGAAGAGATATTGCAAATAAATTAGGATTAAAACCAGTAGATCAAGAAGTATTGAGTCATGGACTTTTCGGGGGAAGTGAAACTGAACAAGAATCACACCACGTGTATAACATTACATTGCAAAGTTTATGTTCAGATTTCAAGGAAAACATTTCCGTTTTGGATAAAGAAAAAATTTGTGGTTACATTCCACGCGTACAAAATTCTAATATATATCCTATTTTGAAAAAGAAAGATATTAATTTAAGTGATACGGGCGAAGATGTACCGGAAATAGGCTTAGTAATAGGAGCAGATTACATTGGCGCATTATTGACAGGAAAAATTGAGCCAATTGACAAGAACTTAGTAGATATTAAAACAAAATTTGGATGGACACTCCAAGGTAAACAAAGAAACTGTTCAAATTCTTTGAAGAATATTACTTATGCTACCAATTTAGATTTAACAGAATTATGGAGCTTAGATACCATCGGAATAAGAGATCCTGTAGAAGTCAAATCAAGACAAGTCGCTGATGAAGAAACTATTGAGTTTTTTCGCGAAACTATTAAAAGAAATGAAGAAAACAGGTATGAAGTGTGTATTCCGTGGAAAAGTGGACATCCTGAGTTAGGACTCAACAAAGATTTAGCCATGAAACGGTTAATGTCAACAACTAAAATTCTTACTCGATCTGGACATATTAGTGAATATAATGATGTGTTTAATGAGTGGATTCAAGATGGAGTTATTGAAATTGTGAATAATGATGGAAACAAAGGGCACTATTTACCACATCGTGCGGTTATCAAAACTGGAGAAACTACAACCAAAATTCGCCCAGTTTTTGATGCCTCAACAAACGATTCAAAAGAAAACTCATTAAATAAATGTCTTGAAAGTGGTCCAAATTTACTAGAATTGATACCAAAATTGATAATGCAGTTTCGAAAGAATGCAATTGGCATAACTTCAGATATAAAAAGAGCATTTTTACAAATCAGTCTAAATCCAAAAGACAGAGAGTTCTTCAAATAGTTATGGGCTCGGAGAAGCGCCAAATACCACTCAACAGTGGCAAAAAGTGATAATTTCTTCTTGGCGTAAAAAATCCTTCCACCAAAGAAATTTAGGCAGGAAATG